TTATCACATTTTTCTATGTAAAATAATCAAATGTTTCTTTGGTGTTCTTAGAATTCAAAACTGTCCATTTTCATGTGTTAACAATGTTTTTCTGGATGCCAGATGTTGCTCCAGAAGGCTTGCAGATTCCTTGGTCTATCATTCAGCAAAAGCGTGAACAGCGTCCTAGTCACGTATAGGGATTCGAAATACAAAGTTTTATAGTTTGTCATTGACAACGAGGGTACCATGTGTTCTCCAGATACATATGCGGGAATAATGGAATTTACGTGTAATTCCGATCTTTCCGCCGTTCACCGGACGCATTTCTTGAAGATGCCATGGAATGTTTACCATACGGATGGCTATTTTACCACACGCATTTCGAAATACGCGTCCAGTGTCGCACATTTACGAGATTTCACTGCCATCCGTCTTAACCGCTACGGCCGACGCTCCTCCGCAGCAGCCATTGGCTTCTTAACGTCCGACAGGTGATTTACACGCGAGGATTTACTGCTCGCGAGATTTTACGAAAGACTGACCCGCACCGAAACCAACGTGTGATGCGTCGCTACTTCGAAGCGAGGCGATACGCCTTCCAAGAACGAAAAATTATTTTTTACAACTGGTTATGAACTGCAAGCTATGATGAGTGATAATAGATACTGTCAGAGATAGCGATCGAAGGGTGTTTTCTATACTTTACATGGTGCTGACAGGAATGATGTGCGACAGAAGATATGTAATTGTTACGACGAAAGTCCCTAAGAGAAATAGAAACATATAAAATTTAATTTTAACAACTAAATGTATATTGGTTAAGAATAAAAATACTTTAGCGTATTTTACAAAACAAAATAATTATTATAACATTTTATATTTAATATTAAGAGAGATATATGATGAGTCACTTCAAAGAAATAAAATTACTCTTACAAAAATTCTTACACAGGCAACAATCTATTCATAATTTATTTATACAATGTTCTTTTATAATTTGAAATATTGGTCTTCTTTCCATTCTTTTTTTTCTACATGTTGGAGGTATTGTCTCGTAAAACATGTGTTGCTGTCACGTGTTGCACCTATACTGTTGAAAATAAAATATTAATTTTAACTTAAACACGTATATTTTCAAGAACTTTCTGAGACGTGTAAAAATGTTAATTTTAACATTTTGCATGTTTTAGAAAGTCCACTATACGTTTTCGAATTAAAATTAACATTTTATTCTTTACAGTGTATGTTTATATATTGATATTCTTCTCGAAAAATTTGATAGAATTATGTTTGCCATACGGTGCTAAGGATTTCTATGATTGTGTATCTCAATACGACTTGGGAGATTGTAGGAAAGTTTGCACGGAAAATCCGCACGCTTCCTCGATGCGAGGAGACATCGTGGGCGTTTTTATGTCGTCGCTTTTATTACCGCAATGGGCGCCGTCCGGTGCTACGATCGACGCAATCGCGCCTTTACAAGCCAGATCATTCTCCTTTACGGCCGAATTTCAATCCGCTCCATTGGAGAGAATTCTGGAAACGCCACCGACGCGAAAGACATAAACGTCGATCGCCAGAAGATCGAGCGAACTCTGACCGTCTTGATATCTTTTCAAGATTAAGTTGTTGGTTCCGGGCTGACGTTAAAGACCTTTATCCGTGGCACGTCCGGTTTAGTGGCATGTATAATTTTCTGATTTTCACGAGATACCAGAGTGAAATTTAGGTTTATATCTCTTTCTTTTCTAAATTTATCAAATCAACTTATTAAAAATTACACTGAAAAAAGATTATCTACTTTGAATATTCGTAAGTAATCATTTACTTGAATGTTAACATGTATTTATTTGATACAACAACTATTAATTTGATTTAACTATTATTTTTTCATTGACTAAATGTTTATTTACTATAAGTAAATGTTTACTTACAAATATTAAAAATAACTTTGTTGGATCATTAATATAATTATGTAGGATGCTCAAACTGATTGCTAGAATATTAAAACTTTTTATAGCATTGTTTAACATACTTCAGATTCTTATGTAATTATTTTGATGGTTCCAACAAAATTATTTCAAATCTGTATCTATACTAAATTTGTAGACTCTTCAACAAAATCGTTCTTTCATGTAGAATAAATGATCAATGTATAAATATTTAATATCAAATTTACTTAATAATTTCAAAATTCTTGAAAATTTTATTATCAAAATTTTATTTTACGGTCAAATTAAAGAAGTCTTATTGAAAGAAGAACGAGGGAATCGCAGGATGTGCCACAAACATCAAGCACTAAACATCGAGTCAGCTGTACTGTAGAAAGCGAAACGGAGAGCGCGCATCGGGTTGCTGAAGTTTTTCCGCTATAATTTATGCTCGATAATGAATCTACACTCTGCAGATAGCACGGGGGTCAGGTGTTAATGTCGGTGCGTGTGTGGTGCGAGAGCGCGGCGCTGCGTGGGACTCATGGCACATTCGGCCCACCCGCGCTCTCGGTCTCTCGCGAATCAGCGATGCTCAGCCAGTTGCTCTCAAAATCGACAAACGCGAAAGAATAATAAATATCCCCTAGATTTTACCTAACGAGAAAATTATTATCTATATTATTATATATATAATAATGCTGCGTATTTCTTGAACACCCGTGTGTCGCCTAATTTATTGAATAAATAAAATTTAGGGATAGATCCCAGAATCAGCATTTTTATGGCATAATGCCGTTTTTGTCGCAGATTTTGTTGCAGTGAAAACAAATTCGCTTGCGAAACTCACGACCAACGAATCGATGAATTGTGGGTTACGTGCGCGTACGTGGGAGAGACAGTCCTGGGAGAACTCGTCCTGCACTTTCTCCCTGTCGCATGTCGTTTCCTTGAATTCGACGCACGTCTCTAACTTTCCTCTGGGCATCAATTGTCCCACGTTGATTACATGCAGCAAGAAATATCGCGTAAGTTTACCGAAGGCAATTTTTTATCACACGCTGTGATATCGGAAACGAAAAGAAAAAGAGATTATTCGTCCGTAAATCAATATAGCATATCTAGCTAAGGAGATACGTGTATGATTTACGCATGTGCGGACATACATATAATTCCTGGAGGTTGAGAACCGTCCGACAGACGCGTCCCTTAAACAATGTCTACATTAAGCCTAGTTAGGCGAGAAACGACGTTTCGCGGCAACGAGACGTGCGTCGTGCTGGCAGACACGTCGCCGTCGAGAGTCGTTTAAAGGCATTAAACGCTCGCTCGCTCGTGGAAACACACCGGCATCGGCAGTTCGCCGTGGTGTTCATCGGGTGTATCCGCGTATATACCCGACAACGTATTCACGATTCACGATGTATAAAGTACATGGTTACGAGCGTCACACAATCGTGCGAGCCTACCCCGCTGTTCGGAGCCTCCGCGCCGCCACGTTAGCACGGGGCTATTAAGATGTTTGAATAATATTAACATGGAGAATTTGCAAGCGCGCGCGCAAGAGCCGCGTGGTATCGATAACGGTGGAGGGCCTGTTTGTGTAAGGACTTGTAGGGCCTTAGGCGATATCACGCGAGCATTTTAGTACTTGAGGCGGCGATAAAATGAGCTCACGATGATGATGCTGTTAGCCATATCGAAGTTGGTTCACGAGACGCAATGCACAGGTGTCGTCGATAGAAATTAAGTTTTTTGTAGGTACTAACGTTTCTGCAACAAACATTCCCATGGGATTCAGTGAGAACAAAATATCATATGTGGAGGTTAAAATTAATTTTATTTTATTTAATTATTACATTTTTTTTATTTAGCAAATATTTATTTTCCATAAATAAATGTTATATTAATACTATTTAAATAATTATTTATTAAAATTTAGTACATTTTTCTCAATGTAAAGAACTCGCAGTTTAATATATTTAAAATATTTAAAAAAAAGAAGACGAACGTGTATCTAAGAATTAAAGGAAAGCGATCAAACAATTTAAGTTAGCGAACAACAAGCATTGCAACGTCGGCAACGCGAGAGGTGCATTTAGAACGTCATTTCAAATATGACATCTCGTATTTCCGATGCATGCAGGCGGTGAAATAAAGCACGTGCTAAACTGTACTGGTAGCAGTTGACATACGCGGAATTACACCGTGTTTATTGGCCGTGGCTCACGTACCGCGTTCCGCGGCGCTTATCGCAACCGCGATGCATCTTTCTGCACGGTACGCCAATGAAATCACACGGTGACCTCATTCACTGAGTCAATACTTTCGATGTGCTTTGCGATCGGCTGGACGAAGTTCCACGAACACGAGCATGCGATTCCGTCCCCCGAGGAACGTGTTCGGAAATGTAAACCGCTCCCGGGCACATGTTCGCTTAACATGTGCCTACGTCAGTTCCAAGGGACGAGACTCTTGGTTTTATAATGGCGATTTGGCTAATTATTTCAAGGTAACGTTGTTGAATAATGAAACATGTGCAGTCGGCGAGGTGTATTGTCGACGACCCAAGGGTTTCCATATGTCTAGGTAGTGTTCCTTCAAGATGGGACACACATGATGATTTCGGCTCATTAATGCAGGTGCAGATCTATAGGCCGTCCAAGCAATGTCAAAATGTACAGCATGTGCTTCGTCGTGATTGACTAGTGGACTTGGGTCTGAATGAAACAAACAATTAAGTGAGTTTTACGATCGTCTGTAGCTTTCTATAGTCTTATTTTCCTTTATCTTTGTTTACAATGCAAGAGGAACAATATATTATAGTACAAATAAATTTCTCTATAAAAAAAAACAAATAGCAAAATAGAAATCGTAGTTATATTGATTAAAGCTGGATCGAAGCAAATCGAACACATGAATTCATTATTGGATCCACCAGATGTATGTAACGTGTGCAGTAAATTGTACAAAAAAAAAACTAAAGAAAAACAGTTTGGGCTTAAAGAGAATCACTATCCCTCGTGAAAAAGAAAAACTGAAGCACTGTAAATGAACCAAATGTAAAATACTGATTCATTAATGCAGGTGCAGACCGTGGTTTGGAATTTTATTGTGCGTCGTGTTACCGCCGTTATTAACGAAGACGCAGGTAAGGGAATTTCGAAAGCATGCGATGTGGCAAATCCATGGGGTTTTATGCGCGGTGTTTGGGTCGGAGCATGTACCACCAAGGACGCGCCGAAGGTGATCGTGCCGCACATGCCGGGTGGTTACCATGTTCGAGAAGGACATGAAAGAAAAAAGAAAGGAAAAAGAGGCAGCAGCAGCGAAGTTAAGACGGAGTTAAAGTGCGCGGATGAGACTTAACGGCCCCGCGCCGTCCGCCTATACCTCGTTTCGATAATATCCGCGAGAACAATTTCTTATCCTACATCTTTAATCTTAACGTCTCTGTCCGCGCGCGCGGGTCGTGTATCAAATTGCGCCGTGCGATTATCGCCGCCGCCGCGACGCTGGTCCGTGTATAATTTTGCAACGCCGGCGATTGGCTTAGGATTTGAATAATCGCATCGTGTTTCCGCCGCGCTGTTACTGATCGCGGCGATTATTGTCATTATGATAACCGCGTGGGTCTCAGCCGATTTAAGCTTCTCGTCCTGAAAATATGTGCGGCACAGTAAGCCCTTAATTTATATAACATTTTGCAGTTAGTGAAGCTTTCTGTTACCTGCTACGTGTGTTTAAAATAATTTGTCTGTGAGTTTTACTCTTTACAATTAAAATTACACGTACGAATGTTTGTTTTTTTATATTTTGTATAAATCTGCAGTTATTATATTTTTCAAGAGATTTATATGTTCTTGTGGCATTTATATTGTGATAATTTTTGTTGCAAGAAATATTAAAATTATGTAATTATAAAGGAAAGATTCGAAGAAAATTTGATATTTAGATGCATCTTTATGAGCATAACCACGGGGAAGAAATTGATTTCTCGTCTGCGTCAAAATTGCCAGGGCGACTCGCACCTTTAGCGCATTTTAATTCAATCGTTCGGTGGTGAATCGCGCAGGGTCACTGCGCAGGGTCAATCGTATGCTAATTGCCAACCAAAAGACGAACGGGGCCGCGCGCGAAGGAGCAGGAGGAACGAGGAGCGCGTATTCGCGCTGAGGACGATCGAAGTACCCGCGGCTCGGGCAAGGTCTTTGAACCTGCGCCGTCGACCCCGTAATGCACCGTTGTCGTTGAATTGTTCTGCATAAATTTATGACGGGCAAGTGTGCGAATGCACGTACCGCAGGACGAAGACGAATCGTCCTGGTGAACCCGGGGGGTGTCTCTCTGCCCCCTCGCGAGCCACGCCTCCAGTCGACGTTAATTACTGCCGATTCCAGCGCGCGGAGTACTTTCCGGAGGAAGATCGGATGCCAATCTCTCACCGGATAATTCCTCTCCATGAAGTGCAATTCATACAGGATGTCTCAGTGAGCTTGTATATTTTTCGCATTGTTATTCGATTTTTTGTTTTTGGATAATGTTAGTAAATGAAGTAATTGATATCACGAGTAGTAAGTTCTGTAAGTATTGCAGTAATTCATGTAATAGAGGAAGGATGAGAGAGAGAGGATTATGGAATACCTTTTTTCGAACATGGTACAATGAATATAAATAAGATTTGAATCTAATTTTTGAAGTTCAAATTTTATTTTTTCCTCCAGTTTGGTACATCCTTCAGTATCGCCCACACAATGAGAATATTATTAAACTTGGACCTAAAAAATTGTATTTTATTCAGAGTTGTACCACCTTACTCTATTGCCTAGTTTATGCTTCGGTCTTAACCCTAAAATCCTAAAATTCAACCAATGGAATACAGATTTCAATTAGGACCAATTAGGATTTTAGGGTTAAGACCGAAGCATAAATCAAGCATATATTGTAGGTAGGTGGAAGTTCTTTAAACGTGCAGAACGAATGTAAGTTACAAAAACTGAAAAAAAACAGGTTGCGGTTATGAAATAGAAGGGGAATATGTGTGTGTGCGTGTGTGTGTGTGTGTGTGTGTGTGTGTGTGTGTGTGTGTGTGTGTGTGTGTGTGTGTGTGTGTGTGTGTGGAATATACTAACTATTATATAATATAACTGTATGTACATTTTGGATACACACACATATTTTATTACTAAATTTAATTCAATTGTATTAACAATAAATAATATTATTGCATGTGAATACACAATCAAAAGAAGGTCTTATTAGTTTGGTTGAATCTTTAAATAATATTTCGGTGAATTTATCTACATATCCAGATCAATTATATCATTTGAAAGTCACATTCAAGGTTTCCAAATTAAAGTTGCATAATACTTCTCTTCTACCAACATACTTCTCAAAATTACGTAAAGAGTACACACTTGTAAAACAATCTGTTACTTGCAGCGAGGAAAGTTTAGGTCGAAAACGAACGTGCTAGAAGATTCTGATCATATTAATCAAAATTTCGGTCATCATAATTGAACATATGGTTATCTCGATTAGAATTCTGATTGATATAAAATTCTGACAGAATCTTCTAATTTATTTTTAATCAGAAATTTTTCAAAAAATTTTAGTGTCCAAAATTGAAAGCTTTTAAAACAGCTTTTAGTAAATACTAACAACTAGAAACCATTATAACGTCTAAACGGACTGTGAAAAATAAAAAATTTTGACGATCGCTTCCAGAATGCACCGCAAACTGTACAGTCGTGGACAGAACGATTCCACATTAACCTTTTGCGTTCAACCTCTTTAAGAACAAGGTTGACTTCCAAAATCCATCGAAAAAAATGTTTCGACCGTTCTGTTCACAACTGTACAAGATATCGTGTATTCCACACCACCCTTCACTTATTATAATTACCTCCTTTCCTCTACTCATCGTGAGATAGGTATCTCTATTAAATAAACAATGTATATCTGCTCATATTGCTTTTATAAAAATGAAAATTATCATTTAGATGTCTTCGTGTAATCTGGGAGCAACGAAATAAAAACACAAGCTATCGATAAACATTAGCTATCTGTTTAAAATGCTCACTGGGCAAATTCGTATATATTACGAAAACGTGAGATTATCTTTGCTAAAGAATAGAGTTAAAAAATATCCGCTTAAATTAATTTTATATTTTGCAAGCATAAAAAGATAAACTTATTTCTATTGTGAAAGAATAAAAAACAAGAGAGAAAAGAGAAAAGATTAAACAAGCACGAAGTTTTCTGAAGATGACAGTTGAAATTGTCTATTGAGAATACTTGGTCAACAGATGATTCACAGATGTGCATGCCGAAAAAGAAATATTTTAAAATTTCTAGACTGGTTATATCTGACATTCAGATTTTTTTCCAATAGACAATCCCGTTAGAACTTTCCTTTTCACATAACTTCAATAGATTTCCTTTCTACGAATATAATAATTAACGCTATTCACTTGATTCTAAACCTTTTAGACCTGTTTCTCAGCAGGTTCTGAGATATTTCCGGCAAGTGAAATCTATTCGATATTTTCAAAGAGTTTTTAAAATGATACAAAAATAATTGGAAATGTTGAATAGAGAAATTTTTTTAACATTTGCAACGTTATTTATAAGAGTGAATAAAATTCACAATTTCGTTCTACGTTCGAACAATGGCTGAACTGTTTATCGCAGGATGTGATATCGACGGGAATTAGAATTGCAGATTATATGCAGGTGATGGTACGTTTGTTCTTAATAATACATTAAAGATATTAACATAATGCGAATCGCATTGTACTTTGAGATGCGAATGTACGCCCCTTAAAGCTTATATATTGTGATTTTTAAATGGATTTAAACCGTTTAAAACAACGAAATTGAAATAAATAGCAAACTATACCGACTCATTATACTAATATAAAAAATTTTGCAAAGCACATAGTTAATACTTCATAAACCTTACAAACCTTAAAGTCTTAGAAACCTTTCATTCTTTTCTATTTTATAATTTAATGTGTGTAATAATGCACTTGGATTTACTATGTACTCTTAATTATACTACGCTTACTTATACCTATATTTCTATCAAGGCAACTATGATTTTCATAGCTTTGTGAGAAAAATATAGAAACTTTCCTCATGTATTGATATGTATCGAATTATACCTCAAATTTAACGATCTTATATTTTTGTAATCTTTCACAATATGCAGAAATTTGCAATGTTTATTATTAATATTCATATAAAATAAAAACTTACGATCACCGATGAGGGTCGTTCAAGGAATGTAAGCGGTGTAAGCTTGGGAAAATCAGGATTGTAGACCGTAACATATGGCAACATACACTTACACACGCTATGTCGACCGGTAGCAGGTGAGTTTTGTGCGAGACACGATGGGAATGTTGCGGGCCAACATGTTTACCCAATCATCAGCGGACCCTCGATGGCCTACACATTGTTGACCGTTGTGATATTTGCGGATAGGAAGTGCACCGATAACGAATCGACATTATCACGATTCCGCCAACGTTCCAAACGTCAATTATGAATATCGATAGTTCCGCTGCCTACACCTGCCGTAGCGTTCCCGTGTGACTTTTACGTAAACTGGCACTTGACTAGTATCACTGTAAGCATATCTTATTTCTACTAAAGAAACTGTTTGTTTCGAACTTCATATTCAAAAAACTTTTTCTCGAAAGAGTTTCTGAAATGTTCTAGAGTATATTAGATTCGAGTGGATTTAAGAAGTGAAATCTTTTAATGCGAAAAAATGCGGTAAATCATTCGGTACAAATTATTCGGCAAATATAAACAAATTTACTTTTTAATTACAATTTATATATTTTTTATTATTTATTATATATTATTATATATTATTATTTATTTGGGAAAAAATGCGACGTTAAATACTGCAAAAATATTTTATTAAAAGAAATATTGGTAAAAGCTAGTTGTTGCGCTTGAATGTATAGCTACGAATTTGCGTAAGCTACCTGTAGAATTCTTAGAATTTTCTTAGAAATTATTATGTCCATTTGATTATATATACTCACTAAAATTTAAACATGGTCACTCTCTTTGTAGGCGATAACAATAAAGTAAAAGAGATGTTTAAAATACCTGACAGTATACAGGATGTCCCATAAAGACCATAACAATATTTATAATGAGAGATTTCTAAGAGTTTGAGACGAAAATCCTAATGCCAAAATAATTTTTTAATATAATAAATATTAATAAATATCAATAATAATTAGAAATATTCATAATTTTATCTTTGTATATGTAATCTTTATCAATATTAACAAAAGGCGACATTACGAATTAGCTTTCGCTTTTAGCACTTAATTCGAATTATACAT